CCTAAAAAGACTTGGTTAGAAAATATTAGGAATGACCTTTCTTTATTAGATTTAAATGAGAATTTGACTTTTAATAGGACACAATGGAGAAAAAGGATTCATGTAGCCGACCCCACGTAGTGGGATAAAGGCTTGATGTTGTTGTTGTTGTTGTTGTTGTTGGTGAGTAAATTAAAACCCCAACTTTATATTTAAATGAAGCAATCAAATCATTAATGACCAGAATTTCAATGAATAATAATTTAACTGATAAACCAATCAAAAGACCTAATATTCAAGCACACATGTACAATAGAGAAAAGAAGATAAGAGATAAACACGCACCATCTCTTCATACACGGGTAACAATACCGTTTTCTTTGGCAAGCCATGCATCGCACCACAGCTCCCTTGTCATTCCTTTGGCATTGATGGCACATTAGCGCATCTTCACCAATCAGTAACTTTCTCTTGGTAACCTATAGCCACAAAAAGCAAATTAAACACTAAACATTATATAAGGAAGAAAAACCAGGAAATAACAAGAAAAGGGGCAGCTTGAAGAGTTCGTCACCTGATTCTTCTCATAATCAGAATTTATGGGAGCTTTCCTCTTCCGATTCTTTACAGATGATGCAATCCCAGTTCCAACATTGACTTCATCACAATGCTGTCAAAATCCAACATTTTCTAATGAGTTAAAACGAAAGAAAAAGTTCTATACCCATAACAGATTGCACAAGAAGTTTTGCAAGAGAACAAATGACCCCTTGAAAAGTAAGAAAACAAAAATAGAAAATAAGCAGGAATTGACTAAACTGAAGAGCTCGTCATCTTATCATGCTTCTCCTCAAACTCTAAGCTAGCCTTCCTCTTCCGCTTCGCTACTGGGGCCTCAATCTCAATCCCACCATCCAATTCTTCTTCTTTGAACTGACATCAATATCCATAAGAGATTGCAAAAGAATATTTGAAACAGAACAAATAACCCCTTGAAAAACAAGAAAAGAAAATAAAAAATAAGCAGGAATTGACAAAACTGAAGAACTCGTCATATGATCCAGCTTCTCCTCAAACTCTGAGCCATCCATCGTCTTCCGCTTCCTTACTGAGGAAACAATCTCAATCCCACCATCCGATTCTTCTTCTTTTAACTGACATCAAAATCCATAATTGTCTGATAAGAAGGGAAGCGGGAAGAGTTATTCCCATTGTATGACCAAATAAATAACTCACCGCCTCTGCCGGTGCAGCAACCTCGCCTTGATATTCATCTTCAGCACACTGCCATGAAAAAACAAGCAAAAGGACGTATATTATTAAATTATAGAGGGCCTTGAAAGAAAATAATCATTCCGTCAAAAGAACATTAAAAACCCCACCTTTGCGTCGCTCAGCCCATCCCCATGTCTTAAATCTTCCATTTTGCTAACGGAACCATTCCCTTCCTCAGGCTGCAGTTCCCATTTTTCCAATGCATCGCAACAGTAAACAAAATTGATTAGTTAAATTAGAGAAATTGGATAGAAATACATCTAAGGATGTCAAGGCTAGGCAAGTTAAAAAATAAATCGCAGGTATGAGCGTCACCTCAACCTTCCCGCTGCCGTTGGAAACAGAGCTACTATCCTCAGTCTTCTTCTGCCCCAACTCAGAGCCATTACTAGGCCTCAAAAACTCTGACGAAACCTCACTTTCAGGATCCGACATTGTTGTGAAAACCTAAGCTTAATCCTAACCTGCCCTCTCCTCCCTCTTATAACTTCGCTCTTTCTGCTGTGGCTTTGGCTTCGGAAACGGTTTTTGACCAAAGCCACTTAGGGCTTTTTATTCGGAGATTGAGCTGAAAACGGTTGTCGATCTGCGGCGTAATGGGTGAAGTGGCATGCTAGAATTTGTCCAGCTAAATAAATAAATGATTTCATGTACATGAAATAAAAGTACCGAAAATAAAAATTAATTAATTAAAATAATCTAAATTTATCTCTATATAAAAATTAATAAATAAAGTTAATCAATTTATTTTTTATAGCTCTATTCTTTTATTTAATTTTTAAGTAAAAATAATTTAGATTATCTTAATTAATTAAGCAAATATATAATATTTTATATATTTTTTTATTTTATCCACTCTTATCTTTTTTAATTAAGCAAATAGGTTTGAATCAATTAATTTAATAAATCCATCAATCAATCTATCCATGTTGATCAAATGCACACCATTATATTACGATTCTAAAATTCAGTTGAATCAAAATTGAACCAAATTATGCTACAATTCAGATCGGTTCGGTTCCACCAATTATTTGGTTAGCTCGATTATGCCTATAATTTGGTTCGATTTCATTGGTTTAAGAAATCCTTCAATCATTTCATTCAAATTGATTGAATACACACCTTATACAAAATCGAAACCACATAAAAAAAGAACAAAAGAAAGAGAGAGACGAGTGTGGTTTCTTCGAGGTTTAGGCTAGGGCTTTCAACAATGTCGGATCCTGAAAGTAAGGTCATGTTTAGTGAATTTCTACTTATTTTTCCTTATATTTCAAGGTGGAGTGAGAGCCACTGTTTTGCTTAGAGATGGTGGCGGATTGTGGCTTGGCTGTTGTTTGAAGGTCGTTAGGTTAGGCTAGGAGATTGGGAGGTGGGTACTATTGAGATGGAAGAAGGGTTGATGGCTGTCGAATGTACCGAGTTAAAGAGCTAAAGAGGTGAGAGAGAGTGATAAAGGAGATAAGAGGTGGAGCAAAGAGTCCTACTAATAATATATTTCAGGGTGACAGTGAGTGGATAACTCGTTCTAAAAAAAAAGCTACTAAAAAATAATATAAAAATTATCATTTGTTAATTTCACCTCAAAATAGATTGAATTGCTAAGAAATTTATTGTAATCAAAATTGAATTCAAATATTATGAATGCACAATGGAAGATATATATTTAGTAATACTTAAAAAATATTGAACTAATAAATTTAGAAGGATTTGCACACATGTCAAATAATCTTTACAAATTACATAGATAACCCATGAATTTTAATATTTACATATATAACAATTTAGTATTTCATTTATATAAAAAACACACACATATAAATGAAATAATGAAATGTTATATAAGTATATATTAAAATTCAAGGGTTATATATGTAATTTGCAAAAACTATGTGATATATATACATGAAAATGTGTATTTCACTTTAGAAAGTCAAAATTTAAAGTTTTCGATAAGTTCATAATTGTCAGTTAATTGATCGTTGTTAAGATGCTAATTTATTATCTAACGAGCATACATCGAATAACTTAACTGAACAAGTTAGCACAACAACATTATAATTAACATCTATATCATTAATTACTGATTAATTAATTAGATAATTAATATATTACTTAATTAATGCCTACCTAAACTTATTTAATGTGAATATAAATATAGAATTATCTTAATTTAATATCATAATCATAACAAATTATCAATTAGCATGACTAATTAATTTATTAATAAATTAGTTGGGCCTTAATAACTTGATAAAACACTAATTAATCCATAAAAATTTGAAGGATAGACTACCATTAGGTGGGATTATTATTTTCTATTTTAATTTTCTCATATTTTAATAACCAATTATAATAAATAAATTTTTAGATAGAGATGGAATTTGTTCTGATTGCTTTCTCTCTGCCTTTATATTAGGGGTGTCAATTCGGGTCAATGGGTCGGGTTCAGGTCGAACCTGAAACTGATCCGACACTGTTCGGGTCAACCCGAACCCGACCCATTTTTAAAAAAGGGTCAGGTTTCCGGACCCGAATCCGACCCGATTCTGGTCCGGGTCAACCCGACCCGACACGAATGACCCGAAGTTGACGTAAAATTGCTAGTTTTCGGGTCAAAATCGGGTCAATCTCGGGTTTCCGTGTCAAATAGGAGTTTTCGTGTCAATTTGGGGTGCTGGGTCAACTCGAACCGACAAGATTTTTAAAACGGGTTGATTTGTTGGACCCAAACTCGACCCATTTTGGGTCCGGGTTGACCCTAACCCGGATTTTTCCGGGTCGGGTTCGGGTCGTGTCACAAATTGACACCCCTACTTTATATGAACTCCTTTGATCTTCCCCAAATCTTTGTGCTTGATAGTTGAGGGCACATAAAAGCATAAGGGTGAATTGGAATTCTTTTTAAAGTTTTTCTTAATTTAAAACTCTCACAAATTATATGATAATAGTTGTAATTATTATGGCAAGTAATAATTTAATCACATATATGAGTTCAAGTGTAGAAAATATGATGTACACAATATTTATAAATTAATAGCAAGAGTATTCAAAAGTGGTTAATCATAATAGAGATCATTATGCTATTAGCTAATATACATTTGTGATTAATTAATTATCTTGTTACATGTTGGAACTTATGAAACACTAAAGAAAGTTTTATACATACTAAAAGTATGATTGGTGATGCCTATGGAGAAAGATAATATGAAGGGAAAGAATTATTTTCCTTAATTTTGTATTACGAGCTTTTTATAATATTTATAGATATAAAATAGTGAAGGAAAAGGAAAGTGACTTAACATTGGTCATGAATGCTAATTTTTAATAAGTAGATTAAATGAAACAAAACCAAAAGGAAAGTAAATTAATGCTCGTAATGAATGTCAATTCAATGAATAAATTAAATGAAAGGAAATAAAAAGAAAGTGAATTACAGATGATAATGAATGTCAAATTAATATAATTACCAAAAGATAGAGTACTAAAAAATAATGAAATAATTTATTTATTTTATTTCTCCATTATGCCCCCTCAAGGTGGAGTCATGTGAGATGACACCAATCTTGACAGTTGGATTGATGAGTTGATGAAGAGAGAGAGGATGGATAAGAGAATTGGCAAGCTGGTCATTAGATGACATATGAGAGACATGAATGTTACAATTTTGGACTTTTTTTCAATGAAGTGAAAGTCAATGACAATGTGCTTCATAAATGAATGAAAAATTAGGTTTGCACCTAAATATGTTGCATTGTTATCATCAAAATAGACTGTTGTTATGGTGGCTTTTTCTCAATTTCACTTTGAGTACGGGGAAGTTTTAATCAAGTGATTTCAATAGTGGTAGACGAAATCATACAATATTTTTCTTTGGTGGATGAGCGAGTGACAATACATTGTTTCTTGAAGCACCAAGAAATGGCTTTATGACCAAGGAAAATACTGTGAACACTTGTTGAAGTTCGATCCACAATATTGTCGGTCTATCAACATATGAGAACCCATGAAGGGAGAGTGGAGAATTGCGAAAAAGAAATGCATCATGATGACTAATGTCTCAAAAGTAGCAAAGAATTCGTTTGGCTACACTCCAATGAACTTTGGTCGGGCTATGCATGAGTTGCGAGAGTTTGTTGATAGCAAAGGCAATGTACGATTGAGAGAGAGAGAGAGAGAGAGAGAGAGAGAGAGAGAGAGAGAGAGAGAGAGAGAGTTGAAGACCATCGATCAGTGAGCAATACTTATTGGCATCGATAAGAGGAAAGCCATCAAGTATGGTGGGTATGTTGGTGGTAGACATATGCATATTTTTTTTCATATTTGTCCTTTCTAAAAGATCTTGAATATATTTATGTTGGGATAGGAAAAGGCCTTTCGCGGAGGGTATGAATTTAACACTAAAAAAATATGAGACATCTCCAAGATCTTTGATGGAGAATTTTGTGGAAAGTTGGTTTGTTACCTGTTTAAGAAGAGTATCATTATTACATATGAGAATGATGTCATCCACATATACAAGGAGATATATTTTAGGCATGCTTTTGAGTAAATAAATAACAATGCAAATTCTTTTTAATTAATAAAGCCAATAGATATGAGAAAGGATTGAAGCTATTGGTATTAAGCACGTGATGCTTATTTGAGACCATATACTCTTTGTAGGTGGCGCATACAAGTGGGGTTTTTGGGATCATAAATTCTGGTGGTTGGCATATATAAACATCCTTAGTGACATGATCATGAAGGAAGGCATTGTTGACATCATGATGTTTGATTGACCAGCCTTTGGAGAGAGCAAAATTGAGGATGAGCTAAATTGTTGTAGGTTTGACTACAGGGCTAAATGTTTCATTGATGGAACCCTTACGCCACAAGATGAGCTTTATAGAAATTGAGAGAGCCATCAGATTTACTGTTATTATCATTGTTACCGATATTAATATGGACACCACTATTGTTACTAATACTGATTGATGTTACTTCTGGTATATTGTTACTACATTACCATTGTTAATTATTCACTTCATTATTTACTAATTTACTCATATTGAACATGTTATTATGGTAATATATTGACACTGATATAGAGTGGGTAAATAACATGTATATACTCTTATATGATTATGATTCTAATAGTATTTATGGATGATTTAGTTTTATCTCTTTATAAAAATTTTTTATTGATTGATAGTATTGATACAATGACTACATTATTGATTCGACACTCATTCTGATTTATTGGTTTCCTTACTAAATAGCTTTACTGACTTCCATACCATACTATTTTATTGATTTGCATACTTTCCTACTATTGTATGTGAGTTATTTTTTATGGACTGATTCAATAATTATATGAATGTTACTGCTATAATTTGATCACTGATATGCATATTGCTCCTTTACTGTGCTTTGAGTTCAATTATAGGTTTTGGTGACCTACTAAGCTTTTAAGCTCATTATATGTGATCTAAATATTTTTAGGTTATGGCAGAGGATCAGAAGTGTGAGGCTGATCATAATTCTTCATGTTCTTTTAGTTATTTTTTGTACTCATGAATGAAAAGATGTGTTGTGATTGTATGATTCATAAGTATTATATATGATGATTTGGGAGCAATGATCATATAAATATGTATAGATGTTTTGAATTATAGAAGTTATTTTTGTTGTTTATTATTGATAGATGAAATTAGATAATTTTGATTATTGTATAATAAAAATAAAAGAAAAAAAATCTTCTAAATTATATTCTAAGGCATCACAATTATCACCCAAAATTTCACTATTGTACTGATGAGAGCACAAAACCATTAGCATTCGATGCAAAATGTAGGCTATGACACTCACTAAGAGGGTGAATTGTTTGCTTGAAGAATTTCATATAATAAAATTTTTTATTATGTTGTTAGTCTCGTCCTAAGCCTCTTTAATGTTTATGTAGTATGTCTCATCATAATCATTCAATTTAGATTCATACTAAGGGTCATTAATGGTATGTTCAGTCACTTTTGTAGTTTTAAGTTTGAGGTTAACATTCTTAGTTGTGATATCATACACCCTCACTCTCGATAATTCCCCCAATAATACTTGATTATTAATGTAAAATAATAAGACCAACATTCTAAAAATCAACACAATAATAAGGCCCACGTACTAATAAGAAGTTAATAATGCACCATGTTAGCCATTGTCCTTCTCTTATTGTTCTTAATGATGACATATCTAGGATCACTTTAACTTTGTTTGAGTTCATTTTAATATATTTGGGGTAAGTAAGAAGCACAAAAATGCCATAGAATTGTCTCTAAAGATGCATTTTAAGAAATGAGGTGTTTGGAATATTCTTAGTGTTGTGAATATCTCAAAGAGGTCTTAAACATGTTATTTTAGAGTTTTGTTTTGTTAAGTAAATCATCAACATAGACTTCTATGTCTAAACTCTTCTAATCTTTAAAAATATTATCCATCATGCATTGGTATGCTACTCCAATCACTTTTGCTAAGACGATATGAAAACATTGCAAATAAACATTGATAATGAACGTAGTCATTTCATGATCGATAAGATGGATTTTGATTCAATGTAGCATATGTTAATAAATTTTGAGGTAGGGTACTAAACTATTGAGTTGACAAGACCATCTTTGTATGAAAGTGGGTAGATATCCTAAAGGCAAGCTTGGTGGAAATTGGTGAAGTCAATGCATACCCTCCACTTCTCATTTGCTTTTTGCATTATAACAACATTGGAGATCAAGTTAAGTATTGCACTTATTAGAAGAAATTAGATTTAATAGCTTTTGGAACCCACATTGAAGAGATTCGACTAAATATGTGAAAACTTTGCAAATTTTATTCTTTATTGGATTGGGCGACTTGTCTAATGAAAAGGGAAGTTGATGTTAACTCCTTGCATTTTAGATATAGAACAAACCATTTGAATAAATCTATATTTAATTGGAGATTGAATGGGTTTCTCTTTGTGCTCCAAATTAATAGAGGCACTTACTTAAATAGACTTAGTTGAATAATTGCAAAAAACCGCAAAAAGAGTCAAAGCATTATTCTTCGTAAGAAATTTAACTGTCATATGTATGTTAAAATGATTATCTGAAATTATGTTTAGAATTGAACTTCTAAAGTTATTGTACGCAGTTGGGGCTTTACGTATGATGTAGCAGCTCATTATAGTATATTTTTAGTTGCCCTCCACAAGATAACCAATAAAGAAATTTAGCTTTCACTCTCTTTGTGCTTACAGGAAAACAATATTGGGCACCAGCTGCAATGCTTATTGAATCCATGCTCAATTACACCTGTTCTGACCCAATCTGGTAAGAGCAATGAAGTAAAACTTTTGCATTCATGCCTTTTGCACATGTCAGTGAGTGTTCTATATGCATGAACATGTTTAAATCTGTTTTGGATCAGGTCCATGGGGTTTGTGTGCATGCATGTAAAATCTGGAATTCCCTCTAGGAGCATTGTGACACTGTGTAGGAAGTGCCATGACATTGTGCTCTCTAACAAAATTTTGTAAAATGAATTAACGATGCATAGCTAGGGCCAGGTGTTGCACCGCTATGCTCTCTAATTGGGAGCATTGTGGCGTTGTAGGGTTGAGCGTTGTGGCGCCAAATCAAATTTTTATAAAAATATCCAAATCATTTTTCATTATATTTTAATAAAAAATATTAAAACCCCCTTTAGTTTGTTAGAGAGAGAGAGAGGGGTAGATTCTAGTGAGAGAAAGTCAATTTTTTTAGCCTCTAGTCCATTTTCTGCTATCTGTCCAGTTTAAAAAATTGTCCGGATTGAGATAGGTTATTGTTCTTATTGGTAAGTAATACATGTAAATTTGATTTTGAATGGAAACCAATTTTTTACCTTTCTTTGTACTTCTGTTTTTGGCTTCAGGTCGATTTCACTTATGAGGCTACAGTTTTAAATGAACTTTCTCAAGTTTAGAACTTATCCAAAGGTGAGAGAAGAAGAGTGGAGAGGGAAAGAGAGAAAGAGAACAGGGGAGAGTGCGTAACCCCTTTTCCTCACCTAATTCATTTTCTACATTAAAGAAGAGTTCATAAGCTTGGGGCTGAATTAGAGACCGATGTTAATGCTAACATGAATCAACGTATAAAAAAATAATAATAAATCCATAAGAAATTGATTGCATAATCATGTTCCTTCAAAATACATCCCCATAATCCATCTTTCTTAAGCTTCATCGAGGTTTATCAAAGTAACCATGTCTGGGGAAATTCCTCATTGAGGAGATGTTCAGTACAAAGATCTGAGCAGAATTAAATTCTTTTACAACTTTAAAACCATTTTACTCCTTAAAAAAAAAATTTCTTTTACCATCAGGGCATATAGATATCAAGATAATTGAAGCGGTTCAGAACAGCACAGAGGGATGGGGAGGTACTAACCTATGTGCAAGAACGAGAAGAGGACGACAACCGGAGGTTGACTGGAAGGCGGCATGCAGTGAAACCGAGCGGGTCCGATCGCGGGCTTGCGGGTATCGATCGGGCTGTGCAGGCCGACGTGCGGGAGTCCTTGCAGGCTGGCGTGTTTCCACGCGCGAGCAGAGGTCGGAAATCGGGGATTGAGCACTGGACAGAGCTGATTGCTTAAGAAGGAAGAGACCACTCTGTTCGAAAATTGTACCATTTTTAAGGGTCGACTTCGTGCTGCCTTTTTGTTAGCACGACTGCACGAAACGGCCCTAGACTCCTAGAGCGGTCTATTCAGTAAAACGGTAAAGGGTTTATTAAGTAATTACAATTTTACCTTCTCATTTAAGGGTTGAAATTAACTACCACATTTAAAAGATATTGCAGGGCTAATTTTAACAAAATTAATATATTAAACCAGGGAATTTATTTAAATTTAAAATTAGGATAGTTCAAGTCGATCAATTAAATCCAATTAATGTTGATCAAATTTTGATGGATTCATGACGGGTGATTTTGGGCTTAATTGAAGCTACTGGTGTTAAATTGTACTAGAGACGAGTTAATCTAACTCGATATCGAGTCGATTTGATTCGACGTGCTTCGATCAATGCCATTATGACCTTGATCGCTTCGAGACGAGCCAATTTAGTTCAGATTGTTTCGAAATTGGGTAATTTTAATTGAGTTAACATTGATCTGGTCGAATCGAGTTTAATTAACATCCGATTTGATTTTGTTTGAATGAACTTAGTTTTGGATTGACTTCAAATGGCTGGAGCCGGCATCTAATTAATTCTAACTAGCCCAAAATGTGTTATTTAGTGTCTATCGAACCTGTCGATTTCAAATTGAACTCGAATCGAGTCAAAATTAACTCAACGACGTTCGATTATACAACTATATTTGGAATTAAATTGGATTATGATCAAATTGGGTTGAATAATGGGTCAAGTCGGTGCTATCTCATTGAGTATCCTCATAAGGAAAATCCTACCAATATACATATATATGCTAGGTTACGAAGACCAAGGCTCTAGGGATGAATTCAGGGAAATCGATCTAATTCAAAAATGAGGTCAACAACATCTAATTGTTAAACTATTCTAATATTTTTTATCTTTACACTTGTAACTCAGATGCCTAGCAAATAGATTTGTAGCATACCAATGCATCATCCTATACTTATAGATAATCTACATGAATCGACCATAATGTTGAGGGATTTTATTGGAGAGTTCTCAAAGTTTCTTGTGCCCACCCACAAATAAAATGAAGTGAGTCCCATTTTATTTTGTAATGTAGGCTACTTAAATAGCTTGTGTTATGTAAACCATGCAGAGCTCAATTTTGATTTTAGTGAAAATATTCCAATTTTTCCATACTCTTTGACCCTTTTTGACTCACACTCAAAGCACCATCTATTAAGCTCTCTTCTTGGTGCTCTAGGTAGACTCAATTATATTATAGGTCCTTGCTTATTGATGTTTCTTAAACTAAGTAATGTCTCGGTCTTATTAAAGAAATGCATACCCTTATTTCCACCATTCACATCATCACAAGCTCCCTTTGCTTGTTCTTATCCCATATAAGGAATATAATCCAAATAATGATAATGATAGGGTCCATGAGGGTCCACGTAAGTTTAAGGATGATGCTCTGTTAGGTGTTGAAATACTCCACGAAGTAAATATACAGTATAACACATATCCACAATCCACCTTTTAAACAACTTAATCTCTTAGTCTAAGACCCAATATCTGATAAAGCTCTAGTGTGAGTTTTATGATTGTTTTACCTAAAACTACATTGAGGTGCCCAGTGAAGTAGGACGCAGTTGTACATATTCTAATCTAATCTAGTAAAAAATAGATTTCACACTCTTATAGACATATATTGATACAAGCTAGGTTCAGCATACTTTTTAATCCCACATAAGACCAAGAATCATAATACAAGTCAAATCAATGTATTAAAGGCAACTCATCTTGATCTGTTGGTTAAAATTTTTGGCTATCAATCATAAGATTTTGAGTTTGAATCTTTCGTTGTTATGTGTATATAATTTTATCTTAATTATCCTAAATGTCATCCAAACAAACCTTATTAAGAAATTCATCTAGCCTTGTTCAAATTAACCCTCACTAATGAAAAGAAGGTGGTGAAGAGGATTAATTATTTTGTGCGGACGCCGAACGTCATTTGGAGACCAACCAAAATGCGCAACGTCACCACTCACTCGATACTGCAGCTCGGTACTTCTCAGTATCGCTCAGTACAAGGGCTCGGTATTGCTGACATGACGCATTTTGATTGATCTCCAGACGACATTCTGTATCTGATCTCCACAGAATAATTTCTCACAGAAGAGAGGCCTGAAAATAAGAGTTACCATGATTAGGCAGATTAAAAAAATGAATTTATTCAAAATTATTAGCAAAATAAAAATATCATTAAGCTACCTCAAAGCTCACTTTTGCCTAAACCCTTTGTAGCATATCACGAAATGTAACAGATTCTCCATAAGACGTATTATCGTCTCACACAACATTTCAACTGAATTCTTCTTAATAAGAATAATTTAAAACATTTGCCTAATGTCATGACAAGGAAGGCGACAATACAATAAATATATAAGATGAATATTGCCCATCTCACTAACTGCCTCAAGCAAGCTTATAAAAAAACCAATGCAATTAGCCAGTTTCTACAATAAAAGGCTAAAAAGAAGAAAAATTTATATTTGAGACACTTTCTGAAAGTAATTAATTGACTATTATTTTTTTGTTATTTTCTGACTATATTTAGAAAAATTCCAACGATAAAAAATTATTTTTTACAACTAAAATAATTATCTCTCTTTCCTCACATTATTTCATAACCAACTTTATAAAAAACTATAACCCTCTCAAACAAAAAGTTTGGACATCTTTTTAATTGCTTTTGTGATATTAAAAAAAAGAAATTAGCCAAAAAAAATGTACTTTCAAAGAATGCTGTCACTATTTTTCAAATTTTTGCCTTAAAAAAATTACATTTAATAAAAAACATTTTTAAAACAAAGATTTTGTTTGGGACGGCTTTCTTATTGCTTCTTGAAACAAGATTTTAATACAAAAATTTTAATTTTTTACTAAAAATCTGCTTTAAGAAGCAATAAGAAAACCGTTTCTAATGAAGCCTAAACTAAAAAATAAGCTTAAAAAAGCAAAAAAGTAATGAAGCCTTACTCGATGTGCAGAAAACCCAAATAACCTCAGCAACTAAATTTCGGCAAAAGCAGAAGTTACAAACAAAACATTGCAGGAACAAGGCGAGGTAATATAATGCAGAATAGTGATCATGAAAATGGCTTCGATCTAGCAGATTTGCGCTAAGGTGAGAAGAAAAATCATAGCCAAATTCCTACGACGTTGCATCGGTCCCTTCGTTACCTTCAATATCAGGCCTTCACATCAAGGATAAAAAATGATATCAACAACAACAAACTCAAAATCTTATTCAGGACATTCAAGTTTGGTTTTAAAATAACATGCAAGGTGCTGACTTTTGCCAAGAAAACAAACCTATTCAGGATTATTTGCATAAAACCACATAACTTTTTATGAATTTATATATTTAACACTTAAATTTTAATTTTAACTAATATAATATTTTCGTATTTCAATGACATCAAAACATATAAATGAAAAGATGTAATTTATTAGTGATATTTTAGTTTGATTTAAAAACTTAGGTGTAGTAAAAATAAATATTAGCATATAAGTTTTATACATATATATGCATAAGAATTATATATTATGTAGATAAACTCCCCTTTATCTTTGGTTTTTTTATGTAACAATATATTAAATTGTTTTGGAAACAGGAATAACTAAACTGTCTGCATGTACTGAAACCCGGGGTGTCAAAATTGGGTTTCAGGTCGAATTCGGAACTGACTCGGATTCAAACGGGTCAATCCTAAATCGACCCAGTTATGTATACGGGTCAGAAATCCGAACTGCAAAAAATAAATGTAGAAGAGCAACTCACCGTGCTTTGCACTTGCAGTTTGTCCAAAGCCTTCACAACGTGAATGAAAGCATGAAGAGCTATTTTTTTCACCTATATCATTGCAACCAATTCGATCAGATTAACCGAAAGCTGATTTTCTCTATTAGAAATTTTAACCATTTTGACTGAGCAATGCACAGAGAATACACAAAATGAAGAGCATACCTCTAACTTATCTTCCTTAGCCCTGTGATCCCGTGGAAGCATGCGGAATTCTTCTGTCAGCCTCACGCACTCGCGAACATTTTCAGGTGAGACAAAGTCAAGAGCAACCTTTATGCAAGACTGTCAGAACAAAGTTCAAATTTTTAAAACGACAAATTCAAATTTTTAAAATTTGTTTGGACAATTTGTACTTCAATTTAAAAATCTTAAAAATATTTGTGTCCCAAGAAAACCTTGACACTAACCTTAGAATTGACGAGTTAGCTAATATAACAGAAGGTTATCCTATAAGTGATTTTAAGAATCTTTGCATTGTTGCTGCATACAGAATAAACCACGAACTTCTTGACAAAGAGAAATCAGGCGAATTTATTAGCAGAAAAATCTACATTAGCTAACACTTCTCATATTAGAAGACCAGTTTCCAGTGCGAAAGTTGGTATTGAGGAAACATCTAGTTTAAATTGTCATTCCTAGCTAAAGCATGAGTCCTCAACTGCTTCAAAGAATTGCACATTCAAAGAAGGTGATAGAATAAAATATGTGGGTATGATGCGTTCTTCTGGACTACCTTTTCCAGCTCAGAAGGTCCACATTATAGCTTTCGTGGTAAAGTAATTATGACATTTGAAGAAAACGGATCATCCAAAATTGGCGTAAGATTTAACAAACAAATAGTGAAGGTAATGATCTTGGTGGTCTATGTGAAGAGGATCACGGTTCTTCTATAAAGCTAACTTGCTTCTTCTAGATTGTTCAGGTCCAAATGATAATGAAAGGATTGCTATATAGATGTTGTGACTGAAGAAGCTTAGGGAAAAAAAAAAGCAAGAGAACCTGGCAGGCTAGATAAACATGGGAGCCATATGAGATGATCAGGAGACCATTCCCAACCTTTCACCACCAGGACAAGGTGTTTTTTTTGGGGGGGGGGAGGGGAGAGCATTGATACGTCAGAGGAGTTAATATTCACTATGTAAGAATGAGAAATCAGAGAAAAAAAATTAGGAAAATTTATTTAGGGAAATATGACTGATTTGAATTTATATTTGAAAAAAAGGAAAGATTTATTTAAGGAAAGATGACTGATTTAATTTCAGATTTAGGAGGGAATTAGGAAGGTTTGATTTAGGAAAAGAGAACTGATTTGAATTCAGATTTGGGAGAGAATTAGGAAGGTTTTATTAAGGGAAATATGACTGATTTGAATTCAGATTTGGGAGGAAAATATGATGGTTTATTTAAGGGTAATTAGGTTATTTTATTTTCATAAGGTGATATATATATATTTGTTGTAGTTTTCTTAGGAGTTGCTCCTTGCGGCACCTAGGGTTTGTGAGAGAGTTGATCTACCTCTCGAATAGTAGATCACTTGTATCTTTCCTTCTTAATGAAGAGATAATAAAAAATCAGCCCCTATCTTTATATCCTGCAGTTTCTTATTGTTTCTTTCGCTGTTTTTACTTCCAAGACGTATCATACTGCAACTTCCCTACCACTTGCCCCACTGCAGTTGCTGCCCTACTGCTGCTGCCAAAGCATTACACTGAATTATGCCAATGCTTGTTATTTTTATAGCAAAATAGGAGTTGGTAAAGCCACAAGTTAATGCCCGGTGAAGAAAAAAACACAACAACAGAGACGGGAATCTATCTCAAGCAAGAAAATTAAATTAAGAAGATGGTCTATGGATCATAAATTTAAATGACAATTTAGATGGAAGAACTTGAGTTAACAAACGTAACACAGTGCTTAATGCATGTAAATGATAAAAAAAAATGCATAAAGTTACAGAACTTAAAATCTTCTAATTATCATACCTTCAAGTTTCTAACCTGATGTGGGCATCCAGCTGGGATGAATATAGCCTCTCCAAGTTTCTGCACAAACGACCATGGCTCAATTCCTAGACAAAAACCACCAGAATGAGCTTAAGGGTTTGCAACCAAGGTCCAAGACAACAAGGACAATAAACATTTCAGTACTATCAACACTAGAACTAAGCTAGCTAAGATAAACCAACCATATTCCTCCTTAAGTTTCCTTTTGTGATCCATTGACAAATAGAAAGATTGATCATGTATCGGATGAAATACCTGTTACAAGAACCATTTCTATCATGAGATGAAATAATTCTTGCTCAAACATCCTAATAATAATAAGGTTTTTAGAACCACATGGTACCTTCGTCACTGGAGAATCATATATATGTTTGAACTCCCTGAAATGCTGCCTGAGATACTCTTCTAATTTTGGGACGTCTTCTCTCCGGAAGATATCCCACAGAGCACCAGTTTCTATGTGCTCTTCATTCATTATATCATCAGGAAAAGGACGTTGTTCTTTCCCAAACATGCTAGCAGAATAATTTTCTTTCATCAATTTCATTGTTTTTCCCATTTTCTCTTTAGCAGATTTCTCAGAAACTTCTTCAATACGCCGTTTTCTTTGCTTTTTCTCACTTTCCACGATTCCAGAATTTCTTGAGGAGCTAGAAGATAAAGCCTGTCTGCCGCCGCGCTGTTTATATGATCCCTGAGGCCTGCCCCTTTTTCGAGAATAAAAAATGAAGCTTTTCCTGAATTCGCCATCTTCTTTGCCTTCAGAACAGGTGGAATCGCAACCCTTGCCTTTAGAAAGGACATCTGAATTAATGCTATCAAGCACCAACATAGGTTTATTATCTATCACATGAATCTCACTATCAATTTTCTCATTATCGGAGCAAGATTTAACCCCTCTACTGGGTGCCGGCTGGTCCTTGCAATTAGAAAAAGTATTTTCCACATCTTGCTTGCCTTCATTATGTAGTTTGATAGCAGCCTCCTGCTTCTTTTTTAATCCTTCAATTTTAGAAAGCTGGACCTTAGTAAGAGGAACTTCTGTAGTGTGTGTTAGTACATTTACCTGGAGAATTTATGGGAGATCATAATCAGAGATTTCAAAAAAAAAAAAAAAAAAACGCACAGAAATGAACATTAAAATTTCATATAAGATGTTTCAATACTGCTAAGAATTCCCTGATGAAAACAATGTTACAAATAAATTTCTGAATAATAACAAATTAAACCATTTGATCCTTAGCTTTCAAATGGGTGGTCTAGGAAAAAAAAAACTTCAACCATTTCCCTTAATGAATTTTTTAAGAATCTGAGGTCATTAGTCAGCTAATGCTATCATCTTCCTTATTACAGAAATTATTTCCAAACTTAAAGCATTAGTAACCCAGGAAAGTGACAATCAATTCCAGCAGAACATATTAGAAGGACAAGGAGTACCAATAGCACAAGCCAAGATGTAAAGGACTCAATTTGTACCACAATATAACCACACAAAAGAGGAAAGCCTATCCTAGAATGAACATTAAATAACATTGATAAAACTGGGAAACAAGTGTAGTCTAGGAACACTTGAGGTTTCAAATAGGTTAAACGTCGGGGACAAACTGGATTACTAATGGAAAGAAAGCTTATCCAAATGTGAGCCCTAATTGAGTAATTGACTTCACAAAAAGTGGAAAACAATAGTGAAGAAAAATTTTTGAGTTTCCAAAGGGATAAAGTTAAGGTCATGAGTTAGTTACATTGAAAATGAAAGCACAAGACAAAGGGATCGCCTCTAATATTACAAGTAAAACAAAAATATCACACCAAGAACAAGCTTCAATAGATGAAATTTAGATGAAAGTGATACGACAGGTGAAATTGATCTGTCCAATGAGATCCATCAGCAAAATTTTGATACACAAGTACCAAAAACAGAAATAGAACATTAAGAAGCATTCATGTATCCACCACCTTTTCAACTGATATTCTAATCTTAAACAAAATTAAGCAAATAAATTGATATGCTAGTATTTATGAAATTAAACAAAATTAAGCATTCATGTATTAGATGAAATCCTTCTAGATATGCTAGTATTTCAAGGAAGAAACAAATTAATCAATAATTATGTATAATATCAACAAAACAAAAATCCCGCAATACCGCATCAGACATATCACAGTGAAGCTTGGTGACAGAATCCCCGGAGCCTAATTCTTCAGCAAATCCATAAGCTATGTAAGTTTTTGGACCAAGATCAGGCCTCAAAACATTTTTAGGAAGCATCACAGCAAGATTAAGATGGCCATCCCGAGGATTTGTATATTCTTGACGAGGTAAAGTAGCAATGAACTCAGCACAATGGCGTGGTAGACGCTCCTCAAAGGAACTAGATGGGGGCCAATCTTTAAGTTTAAGCATCTCAGGCCAACCATCCTGATAAAATCGCCCAGTAGAGTACCCTTGGAAAAATTGATGAATATTTATCTCAACCTGTGCCCAAAGAAAGGCATAAACAATCACAAAAGTGCAAATATTAAAATATCAATTTCAATATTCAAGCAACCACAAAGTTTGTTATATGTATGCAACCTAACATCATTTATCAAATCAGACAAATGCTCCATGCCTTTGAGTATCATAAACGGCATTATATAAGAAAAATCAGCAAGCAGTACAGAAAAAAGACCTGCACAGAATTTGAAGCAATCTAACCCACGTATCAAAAATCCTCCTCATTGAAGCCCAAACATGCAACAACAAAAACAACAATATCAAGCCTTTATCCCACTACGTGGGGTCGGCTACATGAATCCTTTTTCTCCATTATGTTTTGTTAAGAGTCAAATTATCATTTAAATCTAATAAAGAAATGTCATTTCTAATATTTTCTAACCAAGTCTTTTTAGGTTTACCTCAACATTTTTTAGCATAAGTTCATTTTTTTTGTTTTGAGTAAATCGAGTCCCTCGCCGAAAGAAGAAGCCCGCCAATTCTCGCCATCGTGCTCCGGCGTCCGACATTTCCTCAAACAGCTCTGTTCTCGCTCGATGTCTGCTCGAATCGCAGAAATCTTCTGACCAGCGCGATTTTGGCCGAAACGAAGATTTCGCTCGATCGTGGCCGTCGATGCGATTACTGGATTTAGGGAATTAATTCAAAACGTATATAAAGTCAAAAGGGTAGTTAATAGGCTCAAATTGAGCTGAATCAAATTAGATTCGGCTAAGATTGGGTTGAACTCGGGTCCGAATTTAGCTCGATTCGAGTCGATTCGGGCTCGAGACGGCTCAATAAAATTAGTTAAACAAAATCGGGTAAGCCGCGATGAAATCAAACTAATCGAGTCTAATCGAACATGTTCGAGTCCGCTCCGGCTCGAGTCGGGTCGATTCGGGCTCGGACTGGGTTCGACGATGCTCGATTAAATTGATCGAAAGTGCTCGAGGATAGACGCGCTAAAAACGAGGTCAACACTCATCTTTTTTTAAATAAGGTATTAGCAATTACAAAATCATAAGCTATAGCAAAATGATCTTGCCACCTTCATTAGTCGCTCTAAACCATAATTACCATGAATGCTTTAAAATCATCTACCTTTCTACCAACATGTTTATTAAATCTCCTCCAATAAAAACGTTTTCTTCAATAGGCATCGTTTGTATTAATTCTTCTAAGCCATTCAACATTGATACGTCATAATGAAATTATCTTGATCGGGCACAAATCTTGGCGCAAAAATCAAGTTGGAAACTTCAAAAACTAAATCCGGGAGCACCTAAACTCCGATTTCAACAAGCTTATAGTCAAACTGAGTGTCTCGGAAATACGAACCCAACAACACCAAATTCAACAAAATCAAAGCCCAAATGAGCCCAAATCGAGCACCCAAAGCGCTGTTGGAAAGTTCGTACCACAATTTGAGTTGCCAAACGGTCTCCGATTTTGACGAGCTTATAGTAGAATCGAGCGGCTCGACGAGACGAATCCAATGAGCCCAAGATCTCGAAATTCTGACATCATTAAGACCTTCAAATGTCTGACGAACGGTGCACGATCAAGGGATTCAATATCAGCCGTCCATTTGACCACTCCTTGTTTTCCCTGATCTCATGCCTATTCACGAGATATGCCAATCCAGAAAATCTATAAATAGACCCCTCATTTCTCATGAGGGGGGACTCAAGCAAGAAGAAGAAGAGAAGAAGAACGGAAGAAGAAGGGAAGGAGAAGGAGAAACTCCTCCTCGACCACCGCCGGAGTTCCTTACGCCGCCCGAAAATGCCGGAATTCTGCCCGATTTCCACGGGACGCCAGAATTCTGCCCAAGTTCCATGAGATGCTGAAATTCTTCCCAATTGAAGACAAAGTTCCTTCCTCACGCCGAAACTCCGCCCAAGTGATGTTGGAGTTCTCCTCGGCCACCAACAGATGTCGGACTTCTACCCGACGTCGGACCTTCACTCTTCGCCAAGTTTCTACCCGACGCCGGACTTCTACCGATTATCGGACTTTCGCTAGACGTATATCCGAAAATGGATTTCTTTCTATTGTTGGACTTCTACCTGACACCGTCCTTCTGACCTTCATCGTCAGACACAGTCCTTCTAGCCTCCGTCGCAAGGCAACTGTCCTTCTGACCTCCGTAGCCAACCGACTACGGTCCTCCTGACTTATGTCGCCCGCCGACTACGGTCCTTCCACGGGACGCCAGAATTCTGCCCAAGTTCCATGAGATGCTGAAATTCTTCCCAATTGAAGACAAAGTTCCTTCCTCACGCCGAAACTCCGCCCAAGTGATGTTGGAGTTCTCCTCGGCCACCAACAGATGTCGGACTTCTACCCGAAGTCGGGCTTCTACCGGTTATTGGACTTTCGCTAGACGTATATCCGAAAATGGATTTCTTTCCATTGTTGGACTTCTACTTGACGTCGTCCTTCTGACCTTCATCGTCAGACACAGTCCTTCAAGCCTCCATCGCAAGGCAACTGTCCTTCTGACCTCCGTAGCCAACCGACTACGGTCCTCCTGACTTATGTCGCCCGCCGACTACGGTCCTTCTGACTTAAGTTGCCCACCGACTATAGTCTTTCCGACCTCCATCGCCCGCCGACTATGGTCCTCTTGACTCACGTTGCCCGCCAATTACAGTCTTTCCGACCTCTGTCGCCCGCCGACTACGGTCCTCCTTACTTACGTCGCTCGCCGACTACAGTCCTTCCGACCTCCGTCGCCAGCTGACTACGGTCCTCCTGACTTACGTCGCCCAGCGACTACAAGCCTTCCGACCTCCATCGCCCGCCGACTACGGTCCTTCAGACCAAACGAACATGTCAACAATGAGTCTTTATATTAACATCATGTAATGTACTCCATAAGATGTACATCAAGCTAAGGTGTTCCCCCAAGCAAGGACCTCATTTGTAATCAACTACAATACTAGTGGATTCATTCAAACTGGGCTAGGCCCCGTGGTTTTTTCCCCTTTTTAGGGCTTTCCACATAAAAATATTGGTGTCTCATGTGAATGCTACACACTCTCTTATCTGATTGTGTGACGGATTTTCGTTCAATGCCAAGACGTTAATTTTATATTTCTCTACCGCCGCGAATACTCCTAGACGCAACAGTTTGACGCCGTCTGTGGGAAAGTGATTCCCAACTGGGGGGGCAATTTTTGCTCCAACCTCAAATGGTTGCTCTTATCAACTTCCTGACATCAGTCATTGTCGCATCAGATGCGGACTAGGGGGCAACTTTGGCCCCAATTTTGGTCAAAAAGATCCTCCGATGCTTTCTATATCAAGCTGATATTTCAGGAAAATCCCAGTGACGGCAAGGATACTTCCAATCAATTACAAGCTTTGTACAGTCCCTTACTGGACTTCTACTCATTGGGCAAGGTCTTAATCTTGACCTTAAAAAGGCAGTAACGATCTAAAAATAGATCATTCTTCACATTTGATTCAGGATACACGCGACGTTCGCCTACTCCCAATCAAGGTAAAATCGATCCCAGGGGGATCCGATTCGACCTCTTCCACACAGGTTAACGTCGTTGAGCAGGGCTTCGACATATAACCTCGGATAGGTCTCACATCCTTAGTGAATTATCTCGACCTCTTTCACACATGTTAACGTCGTCGAGTAAAGGCTCCGACATACAACCTCGGATAGGTCTCACATCCTTGGTGGATTCTCTCGATCTCTTCCACACAGGTTACGTCGTCGAGCAAAGGCTCTGACATACAACCTCGGATAGGTCTTACATCCTTGGTGGATTCTCTCGACCCCTTCCATACAGGTTAACGTCGTCGAGCAGGGCTCCAACATACAACCTCGGATAGATCTCACATCCTTGGTGGATTCTCTCGACCTCTTCCACACAGGTTAACGTCATCGAGCAAAGGCTCCGACATATAACCTCGGATATGTCTCACATCCGTGGTGGATTCTCCCGATCTTTTCCACACAGGTTAACGTCGTCGAGCAAAGGCTCCAACATATCACCTCTGATAGGTCTCACATCCTTGGTGGATTCTCTCGACCTCTTCCACATATGTTAACGTCGTCGAGCAAAGGCTCCGACATACAACCTCGGATATGTCTCACATCCTTGATGGATTCTCTCGACCTTTTCCACACAGGTTAACGTCGTCGAGCAAAGGCTCCGACATACAACCTTGGATAGGTCTCACATCCTATGTGGATTCTCTTGGCCTCTTCCACACAGGTTAACGTCGTCGAGCAAAGACTCTGACTACAACCTCAGATAGGTCTCACATCTTATGTGGATTCTTTTGACATCTTCTACAGAGATTCTTAGCAGGCTAAAAAGCTTCAAAAATGTATATTATGCAATATATTAGAGCATGACTCAAAGATGCATAAACAATTCAATTTCCTCTGAGGGATAACATCTCAACTTCATATTCAATATCACTGGAGTTACATTGCAAAAATTATACAAAAAATATATTTTTGTAAGAATCTGAAAGCAAAAAATACTTTGACATGAGTTGTATAAGTTACAATCTTCAAACAACAAGCAACTTCAAGACAGTCACATATCCTTAGTAGATCTGAAAGATTTCATCTCTACTACACATAAGCATCTCCTACCACCTCTTCTTCAAAGAAAAATTACAATTTGGTCTTCATCAGGCCTCAACTCAGTTAACACTATACATGTGTTGCCAGAATGTCGGCATAACACACTGCTCCGACCCCTTGACTCAGGGATATCTGATGTCGACAAACTTCCGTATGGATGCTTATTATCTTTGCAAAATGCAACTAGATCACCGTCATTATCGGCTCTTTGCCTGATGTTCGCCATCGATCCTTTACTTCGTATAAGCCATCATCGGCTTCTCGCTCGACTGCTACTTGCAACGCACCCTCGAACTCTCTCATTTTGCTCTACACTCAATTGTTGACTGCTAATGGGCTTCAACTCGATCATCCCTCGCTGACAGACTTCCGCTCAAAC